TTGGATTGGTGGCCATCGGCTCTTAACCCGATATCCCACCGCCCTCCATTTGTTCCCTGCTTTCTCAATCTCCACCGCATCTGTCTTCGATCAACGTTCTTCTTTATCTTCTCGAATTCCATCTTTGTCTATTTCACTTCCCTTCTCTCTATACTGAAGCACCGCTATTTGTAGCATCCTACCGTCAACAGGTGATCTGTCTTCGATCAACCTCTGTCCTTTATTTTCCCAAATTCCATCTTTGTCTATTTCACTTCCATTCTCTCTATACTGAAGCACCGCTATTTGTAGCATCCCACCGTCAACAGGTGAGCTTTGTGTCCATGAAGGAGAAGCAAGAACATTTTGATTAGATCGATTGTCATCAGGAAACCTCGATTTCTTGCAACTCCATCAAAATTGTTCTAGGAACTGGAAAACTTGACCTCCCTATCCTTTACCGACTCTGTTACCCAATCGGTTGTTACCACCATAAATACGATTCACCGTCTCTGTCCTTCAATTACAGAAAGAAACACCAAGAAACACACTGAATCAATTTCGAGTTTTCGGGTGTAGGTGCTGGAAAGTTTGTTCAACGTGTAGTTTATTCGGAACATTGGCTCCTTTAATCTCGTGTTTCCTCCACACGATGCACACGCGCATACCCGATTGATAGGATCTCAACTTGAGACCGTCGATGTGCAGAGTTTGTAACAAAAATGTTTCAGATTCGAGATGCTTTGAGGTTGCCATCTCCACTTTATGTTTGGTGCTCTTCTCGGTGAGCCACATCTAAGGTGCTGTTTGTTTTTTGGAAAAAACCTCTTCAAACCTCTTACTGCTGCGTGGCACAGCACACACGCAACACTTTTTATCTCGCAGCTGTTTGTTTTTTAGAAGTCTTCTGAGTCAAAAACCTCTGCGCAGGCTCTGTTTGGCGCAACACTTGTACTGCCTCTTCTAACCTCTTCCAACATCTTCTTCTTCTTTTTTTATTGCTGAAATTTTGATTATATGTTATTAAAATTTTATTTCACATTTTTTTTCCGTTTTTTTTTTCGTTTATTCTTATTGAATTTATTTTTCATTTTTTTATATTCAATAATGATAATTTCTTGATGAAATATCATTATTTTTTACTAAAATATCTTTATTTTTTTGTTGAAATATCATTCTTTTTTACTGAAATATCATTAATTTTTACCGAAATGTTATACATTATTAAATTTTACGTATTAAAAAGCTATTTTCGGTTTATAAAATTAGTTTATTTTAATTTTTTAATATCTGCAGCAGTATGTAGATGTTAAAAAAACAAACACGCTTCTTATTATAGTCTGCAGCCGTTTGGTCCACCTCTTCTACTACAGAGGGTTGCAGAGGTGGTCCGCAGACTTCATGAATTTTTGCTTCAGAAAATCAAACATCACCTAAGTTTCCTCTTTCTAGCTTTACATTTTTCTCAACATATTTTTTCCTTATCTGCTAAACAGCTTTTGATTTCTGTAAAAAAAATAGTTGCAGTTTATATTCAGCTTTGTATCAGTATGCAGTGATTTCCCATCCAAATTTGTCTTTCTACTGAATTCTCTCCTTAATCATGCTTAATTGTACTTTGTAGTACTTTTTCTTTTGAAGTTAGATGTTATGAAAAAAAATTGGTGATGAAATCATAGTTATGTGTCATATCAACTATGTTATGGTGCACATGAGTTGTTTGATGAAATGCTTAGGACAGAATTCATCTCAACCTTGATTAAATTTTAACCCATTTAATCCAAAAGCAAGAAACCACAATAACCACATGAAGTATTCAACAATATCAACTAATTTGACTTGAACATATCTTACATGAAATGCTCCACTTATTGCCAAGATTTCGTTTCATGTAGTGCGCTTATGGTTGAAAGTGGATAAACAAGTCAATGTGGTTTACAGAGGAAAGCTAAATACAAAGTTTTGTTGTCATTAAACGCTCCCCTGACCTCTCTTGGATAGATATCTAACATTGGTTTTACATTTAACCCCTTTTGATTAGGATTAGATGCAAAAAAAAATTATCAATAACCTTTTGAAAAAAAATTCTCATCAGCATTGTTTCAGATCAACATCAAGGAGATTAGAGGCTATGGACATCTTTACCCTTTTGTTTTGCAGGGATACGAGTTGTTACATCAAATGCAGCCTTACAGAAAGTATTCAGGGCTATGGACATCCATCTTCATTATTTCAACCAGGTAAATCATTATTATTCTTTATCCTTTTCAATCCTTTTAATTTCTTTTTTCCCAACTATTTACCATGTTGTTTTGTAGGGATATGAGTTATTACATCAAATGCAGCCTTAGAAGGTATTCAGTCTAAGTTAGATTCAAAACCCTAGACATTGTATCTCAAACTCTCACTATCAGTAAACATGTTCCAACATTGATTGATGAGTAGATTGAGATGCAAATGAAGCAAAGGTATCACAAACCTTAGAACTATAAATGTCCATCATTTGATATTTCTTAATTGCTACATGTTGAAAATGTTGAATATTTTTATTCTCTAATCCTCTCCAAACTATTACACTCCAGGTTATTACTCTTTAAGTTCACTGAGAATTGTATGATTATTCAATAATTCATTTTTTGTGATTATGAGCTTTGTGCCAGATTTACCTTCGCACAAAGGGTATTACTGATTCTAAATCCCACTCTGATAAATAAACATGACTCAAATTCATTATTTTCTATGAAGGTTTTATCTTTTCTATATTCATTTTCGCAATATAACGACATGATAGTCTGCTTATTGTACAAAACTATACAAAAGTTTCATTTCTCTAGGTTTGTACAGTGTCATGACATTGAAATTTCATTGCAAGTGTGTTCTATATAGTTTTGTGTTTTTAAGGTTTCCATCAATTTAAACACTTCTTTCTTAGTTCAAAGGAGTGAGTGGACAAGAAATATTTATTATTTATTTGAATGGCTATCAGCCATACACTTCACCGGTGGTGGTTTTTGTGATGTTACAATTGCAGAAGAAGTTGATGATGATTCATTTTTACCAAAAGATTTAAAATTTAATTTCTTTATGACTGCAAGTAATAGAACCAACTAATGAAAAAAATAAAACCAACGGACCAAAGGTAATATTTGTTGTTATTTTGTATTACTATCTTTCACGGAACTGAATTCAAGATTCCATTCTAATGTTTGAGGGATTCACATTTATGCTTACATGATGATGATGATGAGGTCCATATTGTTGATTTGACTATAGGTTTAAGACCCAATTAAACTCATTTAGCTCTCAAAACTCCGAAACTTAACAGGTGTGTCCATGTTAAGAATAAATGGTCTTTCGGAAGATCCATGTGACTAATTGATCTTGATCAGGTAATAGATGGGTATCAAAAGTGTTTGGTGATTCACAGAGGACTATACAAGTTGATAGCACCCAACCATGGCCTTATCTAAATGAGGCTCTAACCTAATTCCTAGTAAATTTTTACTTATGGTTTCTTAATCTTTTGCTTTAGGCTTCATTATCTTTGGGTGATTGATATTTAATCTCTTTAGGATCATAGGGTGGCATATAAAATTTTGAAGGTAATATGTTTAATAAACATGTTGAGAAATCTCAAGTTGACACAACAGTTGAATGGGTTGTATGTTCAAGAAATAAGTTGAAATTGGGTTTAGACTTATTTAATTTTTAAATGGGTTGATTTTTTAATAAATAAGTTCAAATTCTTTGTAGGTACACCACCACCACCCCATCTCCCTGTTGAAAATCTATTAAAAATCTATTAGTGGTGCAATAATTTGTTTTCATGTATGGAAGTTAGGTTTTGTAAGAGTGTATTTATTTTTCTTTGGCGTATCCAATCCCTCAAAGCAAGAATCTTCTCTAGTTTTAAATATTTTTAAATTATTTTATACCAACCTCGCAAAAAAATCAAAGTTTTTGACCAATGATATTAATTTAAATTTTTTTGAACCAAAGTAGCAACTTTTAATTAACTACGTTAATCATTTTTGTAATTTTGTCTAAATTAGAACATAAAAACCACTATATATTTTGTCTTAATTCAAATAACATAAAAATTATTATATATTTTGTATTTTTTCCGATTTCACAACATAATTTTAATTTGTACTAAAAAACCACTAGTTTTTTTTTTATAAAAGTTCTATCACAACCGTCATGAAGTGCTAATGTATGCGGTACTCGATTCCAAGATCCGTGGCACGCAGATCAAAAGACTAGACTAGATGGTCATTTTTTGGGCTTGTTGCTTGGCCCACAAGCAATCCAAAATTTTGTAATTATAAATGGATTTTCTTCTATGTGTGTTTTTCTTCGTCTAATAAAATTCCCTATGATTTGCCCATAGAGTAACACTAGTAACAATGTTACTTTGATTGTATGAATCATGTTAAATCTTTGCCGCCTTGATTTTATTTCACATATTTATTAATCGGTTTAACGTATCTTTATACCTAACATTATGTATTCAATCCATTGTCACGAAAGCAACCATGGAGTTAAGGCTATATTCACCCCACTTTTTAATTTATCTTTAACACCCTTTACACATTTTGGGTTGAGAGGTTTCTTGGATAGGCTACAAGAGTTAATTTGGACAACAAAAAAAAAATTGAAGCTGAATCTATTTTGTGTCGTGTGTTATTTGCATATTGCAACAACCGGTCATCTTTTCAACTCTTGTCATGTAGCTTTCTTAATTTGGTCTAAAAATTTTATGGCGAGATATTACCAACCCTTAGCACAACACAATTCATGAAAGAATAAGGTGGTTGAATGCTTCGGGTCGTAACAAGAATCAAATAATGTCTTGACGCGTTGGTTCTTACTATACATCAATATGAGGATTTAAATTTACTAAAATGATGTGTTGTTTTGATCTACAATATCAAGAAAAAGACAGACAAAATTGTTTATTAATCTTATTTTTTGGTTGTTCATATGAAACCTAAGTTTATAAATTAATAATATTGGTTCGTCACAAATCATCATCATTGTTATTTCTTATTTGCAATGCTGAATTTTTTCTAGCATCTTGTTAGTTTTTAACAGATTTTGATCGTTAAAATTAACTCAAAGTCATTAATGAAGTCCCTCCATTACATTATCTTCACCTACAAACTGGAATCGTAATTAATTATTTTTACAAATTAAATTCGATTAACAAAAACACCCTCTCAACATCTAAGAAGTGATAGATTGGAAATTGTTTAGGAATAGCTATCAGAGTAGATCTGATTTCACAAGTAGAATTTATTTTGGTCTGATCTCAAATCCTTGAATGATAAGCCCTGTAAGTTGCTCCCGTTCGTTAAAGGTAAATTCAAACGCTAAGTTGAGAGAAGTAGGAGTATCTGCTTTAAATTGAGATATCTCAACTTCCATCCACCCATCTTTCCTTTGTCTCGGGAGGCAGTCTAGTTTGGGTCTATACAATGGGTTCTTGTTTTGTCTTTGATTCCTATTTTGATCACCATCTGTCAGCATGATAAACGGGATTGTTGGACTGGTTAAATAGATCACACCAACTTCACTGAAATTCGGTGAGTCTCTGTTGATATCCCTTACATCTACAGGACACTCAAGTGTCCCCTGTCTAACGTCTGGCAATTTGTACACAAGGTAAGTTGCGTAGGGTGTGTTTAATGATACCATATGGAAGTTGATATGGCAGTTTATACGTAAAACCCTGCCTGATTCACATTCAGCCACCTTCTCGAATCTGCAAATATATATTTAATATTTAATTAATTAATGTTTTCCTTTGCAAGTTTCATTTATAACCAAAATCAATTATGTAGCTACGTACCTTGATTCATGTACAGATATCCAACGAAGACACGCAAGCTGTGAGAACCTTCTGGATTCCTCATCGCACTCTTCTAATACTGCTCTTGCCGATGCCATACAGCATTTGATTCCATCTTTATCAAGAGAAAACAACTGTAGGAACGATTTCAACAATCAAATACAGTGTTTGCGACAAATTAACCTTTCCGTTGTTACTCTGTAAATTAAGAACGAAATAAAAAAAGATTATTATTTACCATTTGGCCTCTGTTGGTAAGAATTCCGTTTGAAAGAAGCGTGTAGATTTCCTTGTTGGTAATGTTGTATGGGACACGATCCTTTGCTGATTTGATTATGTGCTGATAGTCGGTTGGTAGTTTTTGTTCCCAGTTTGTGTTTGAATTGTCTACTACTACTACTACTGGTTCTTCTTCTATAGCCTGTAGATGAAAATAAAATTTTATTTTATCCAAAATGTCATGATATTGATCTTTGTTATGATCGATGATGATGATGATGATGTTAAAAAACTACCTGCATCTCGACAGGCAAGAACTGGATGCCTTCGAGTAAAATGATATTGTAACTAGGAATTCCTTCAAGCAAAAGCTCAAGCTTTGCGACTTTTCCATAACTAACAAACTGGCAAAGTTCAATCATCATCCACCCATTTTCGGTCCAGTCAGCAAAGTGGGAGAACGATGATTCATCTGCGTCTTTAAATTTGTATTGTAACCCAACAAATGTCGGTTGAGAAGACGTGATCTCTGATGATTCGTCGAAATGTGAAACATCACTAAATCTATGAATAAATTTGAACACCAAGTATGCTGCGTATGTGATTCCTGGTGACAATAAAATCGTTTCTATATCAACCTCTATCTGCAAATTATTTGTTCCTTCAATCTTAGCTACCTCAGAAAACCTGCTAGGGAGAGAAGAGTTATGCATCATATATATATTGATCTATGTATTTGTGTGTGTATACAGAGATGATCATGAGTCATGAGAGAACCTCGATGTTGAGTAAGGAATCCACTCCACAGTTCCAGGATCTTGGAACGAGAACTCTGATGCAGAAATCATCTCACAGTTCTGTTCCTTCTTGCTCAAGGAGAACCACTAAACATTTAGAAATATCTCAAATTAGTACCAAACGAATTTACTATCATTTGTTGCTAATTCAGTTAGTAAATTACACATTTATCAATTATGCTCATCAAAACTTTAAAGAAAGTAAATTACCCTTCTACCCCAATCAACACGAACTCCTGAAGATAAAAGCAATTTGAGTTCTCTTTTATTTGTGTAGACTAAGGATTGTTCTCTATCAGCCATCTCGATTATTTCTTCATACTCCATGGGTTTTCCACTTTGAAAACTTTCCTGTAAAACAAAAAATGTCAATTTAATTAGCATCTTATGATTAGGAAAACAGATAAAAGGATAACTATATACTACCATACTAGCCTGATATTCAAGTGCAAGCTCAAGTTCTTCAAGCACTTGAGCCATGGTGGGGCGTTCTTCACGCTCTCTTTTCAAACAACGATATGCAATTGAAGAAAAGGTTTTTAAAGAATTTGGTTCCATTTGTTCCCGTAGACCATTGAAGATAATATCTTCTAGTGTTCCTTGTTCATAGCTCTGTTGTGCGAGTTTTGTCAATAATCGATGCTTATCATCGGGTCTCCCAATGCACAACCTCCCACAAAGGACTTCAAACAATACTGCCCCAAACGAGTACACATCCGACTCCTTTGTCAGAATATTTGTCTCTGCATACAACGGATCACAGTACCCAAATGTCCCAACTGCATTGGAGACAAGAAACGTGTACTCTTGATTTGCAGGGCCCATTTTGGACAACCCAAAATCGGCTATTTTAGCTTCCCAAAACTGATCTAAAAGAACATTCGCGCTCTTCACATCTCGATGCAAGACTCTTTGCTGTGTCCCAAGTGGGTTGTGAAGGTACTCCAGTCCACGAGCTGCCCCAATGCATATCTTCAGTCGTTGAACCCATGTGAGACTGGTGCTGCTAAGGTACTTTTCGAGGCTACCATTAAACTCAAACTCATAAACAAGAATCTTTTCCTCCCCTTCATCACAGAAACCTAAGAGAGAGACTAGGTTTTTGTGTCGATAACGAGAAAGCATCATTATCTCCATCAGAAACTCATGTTCACCTTGTCCATGGCGTCTGTCTAACCTCTTTATTGCGACGGTTTTTGTTAGCCCGTCGGTGGAAGTTATCTCTGCTTTGTAGACCTTGCCGAATCCACCCACCCCGATAAAATTCTCAGGTCCAAAGTTATTGGTGGCCAATTTTATGACATCAAATGAGATTTTGAGGTGTTCCAACTGTTTCAGCAGCGCCATAATCGATTTCAAAAAGGGGAGGGGAGTATGAAATAAAGGTATAGCTTAATTGGCTCCCAGAGGTATTTATTTAAACTTCTTATCTCTATGGAAAGTTTCCGCGTCCATTCACACAATGAGCACAACTCTTACATAGCGAACATAACAATCAGAGTAGAGAATGTACAATATTGACCCCTGAACTATCTACATATTTACAATATTATTCCTAATAGATCTAGCTAAGCTATGGGAAGGAAGAAAAATCGTTTACGTTTTATTCAATTTGCATCGACAAAATACTTTGAATTCTATTCATTTGCACACAAAAACCGTTTACTTTGACTTTTATTTTTATGGAAGGAAAATGAAACCGTTTACTTTGACTTTCCGTATCTTCTTATCCGGATATCTAAATTTTAGTCCAACTATTTTTTTAAAAGTAGACATTCTGGTTTCACTAGTTTCCAAAACCTATACCAATTGTATTTGGACGGTTGAATCGAGCAATTTAGAGCGTCACTGTGAGTTTTTTGCTAAACATCTCAACAAAATAATAAAAAGCTCAAAATATCACTACAATAAAAAAGCTTTTTTATTAATGTTTTTTTTATGAATTAAAGATAATTAATATTACATATAGACCCCATAAAAAATAATTAAACAAGCAATTAATTAAGTTTGCTATTGGTTGAAAGCGACGAAGTCCCATACACTTCAATTTTTTTTAGAACCATTTATGATTAAATTCATTTTCTTGAGTTCTTGTGACAAATTTGCTTTTAATGCTCAAAATCGTCAAAATGCAAAACATATTATTAATTTTTATTTTTCAGAATATGCAAGGGTATTTGGAATTTATCTTATTATTATATTATTTCAAACACCAAATTTTTTCCCGCAGATGTTCGCAAAGGCGTTGGCAAGATTTATCTTATTATCATATTACTTTTAATCCAATGGTTAGTTTCTTCCCTCGTCTTTATGTTTTTGTTTATGTGTATGGTATATTTATGTATGTTCGAGTTACTGTACTTGGGGTTTAGAATTTGTTCTTGTTCTGGTTTCTCTCGTTGCCTTTTCTTGTAGTCTTGAGGTTGTTTTGGCCCATGATGCGTCTGGTACGTAGTGGGCCGTTTTTCCGCCCTGCTATTTTTTTATTTTTACTGTTAATAAAATTTAATAGAGGTACCCCCACCCCTCCCTTTTTGTTTATTAAAAAAAATACATTGAAAACTCATCTCTTGTACCAAATAATGGATTTTAAAAGTATATCCAAAGGCCCACTCAATCTTTAAAAACTTGGATAAAAAAATTAAGAACCACCACCAATTCGGGGAGTAATCTTTGATTTAAACATGCCGACATATCCCTGTTAACAACTAGTAGATCTCATTTCACAAGCACAATTTATTTGGGTCTGATCTCAATTCCTTGCACAATGAGCCCGATAAGCTCTTCCTCGTTGTCACAAAGGCTCAATTCAACATTTATGTTTATAGTACTAGTAGTAGCATTTGTTGTAAAGTTCCATATCTGAGCCTCCATCCATCCATCTTTTCGTTGCCTCGGAGTGCCCTCGATTTTCGGTCTATGCAATGTGTTCTTACTTGTCCTTTGATTATGATCTTTGTCACTCTTTGCCATCATGATTAATGGGATTTTCGGACTGGATAAGAAGACAAACTGCACCTTTTCATCTTCCGAAGAATATCCATCGGAATCCTTTACTTGTAATGGACATTCAAATTTCGCATCGCTTACTTCTGGCAATTTGTACACAAGGTAAGTTGCATAGTTTGTGTTTGGTGACATCATGTGGGAGTTGATACGACAATTGATATTTAATTCACTGCCTGATTTACATTCGGCCGCCTTTTTGAATCTGCATCACTTACATGTTGTAAAAAACACACCAAAATGATATGCATCAATCTTGTAAGAAGGGTACATACATCGATTCATGTAGAGATATCCAATGAAAGCTCGTGTCTTCGTTGTCTTCGTTGTCTTCTAGAATTACTCTTGCTGCCACCATACAACATTTGATTCCATCTTTATTAAGAGAAAAGAACTGTAGATCAATGATTTCAACAATAAGCGTTAACAACCCAGAAGAATACAATTTGTTATCAACAAATATTTCCTTTGTAATTAGAAATTAAATAGGATTAATTATATATGTACCATTCGGCCTTTATTCGTAAGGATCCCATTGATAAATAGCATGTAGATTTCCTTGTTAGTGATGTTGTATGGCACATGATCCTTTGCCGTTTTGATTATGTATTGATAGTCACGTGGTAGTTTTTGTTCCCATTTTGTATCTATCATCGTATTAGAATTGTCTACTGCTACTGGCTCTTCTTCGATAGCCTGTAAAATGAAAATTAAATGGATTAATTCAAGGAGTCATAATCTCATGGAGTAATTATGATGAAAGGATTCATGATTGATGTTTACCAACTCCACAGGCAAGAACTGGATGCCTTCAATTAAGATACTATCACGAACATGAATGCTATCGAAAGAAACCTCAAGCTTTGCGGCTTTCTTATGACTAATGAATTGGCACAGTTCAATCAACATCCATCCATTATCTATCTGCTCTGCAAGGTAAGAGACTGAAAATTCACCTGCATCTTTAAATTTATATTGTAAACCCACATATAGTGGTTCAAATAACATCTCGGATTTGACTGTATGTGAATCATCGGAATCATGATCAAAATTATGATCAGAATCCTCAGAATTATCCTCATCAAAAAATTTGAAGACAAGGTATGCTGCGTATGTGATCCCCGGTGTCAAGAAAATTGTCTCTATATCAACCTCTATATTCATATCCTCTGCTCTTTCAATTTTTGCTACCTCTGAAAACCTGCACATGAGGGACAAATTAAGGAGTTAGTCATCATATACATATGTATCTATGTATGTGTCTATATGTGTAACATAGATAAAGAGAGAAGAGAACCTTGAGTTTTGGTCAGGAACCCATTCGATAATTTTTGGATCTTTGAATGAAAACTCAGATGCAGAAATCATCTCACAGTATTGTTCTTTCTTGCTCAAGGAAAACCACTAAACATTTAGAAATATCTCAAATTAGTACCAACATGAATCTAACTTTGTTTATTGCACTTAACCAAATTAAAAAGTACTGTTTTATTACATTCCTTGATAATTCAGTTGGTAAAATGCACATTTACAAATTATATGGTCTTTAGTAATATTTCATTAGTGTTAGCAAATTTTATAGGAGTGCATGAAGTTTTTAACAGAGTTCATCATAAGTTTAAGAAAAGGAGAGAAGTAAACTAAATTACCCTTCTTCCCCAATCGACAAGAATTCCTGAAGATAGAAGCAATTTGAGTTCCCTTTTATTTGTGTAGACTAAAGGATGCTCCCTATCAGCCATCCGGATTATTTCTTCATATTCCATGGGTTTCCCACTTTGAAAACTTTCCTATAAAACAAAAAATGTCAGATTTAGCATCTACAAATCGAAAAACAGATAGAGGAGAAGCACTACTATACATGCCTGATATTCAAGTGCAAGCTCAAGTTCTTCAATCACTTGAGCCATGGTTGGGCGTTCTTCACGATCTCTTTTCAAACAACGATAAGCAACTGAAGAAAAGGTTTTCAAAGACTTTGGTTCCATTTGTTGATGTAGACCATTGAAAATAATGTCATCAAGTGTTCCTTTTTCATAGCTCTGTTTTGCTATTTCTGTCAACAAGCGAGGCTCCTCATCAGGTTTCCCAATGCTAAGCCTCCCACAAAGGACTTCAAACAAAACCACCCCAAACGAATACACATCCGACTCCTTTGTCAGAATATTTGTCTCCATGTAAAGCGGATCACAATACCCAAATGTCCCAACTGCATTGGAGACAAGAAAGGTGTACTCTTGATTTGCAGGGCCCATTTTGGACAACCCAAAATCAGCTATTTTAGCTTCCCAAAACTGATCTAAAAGAACATTAGCGCTTTTCACATCTCGATGCAAGACTCTTTGCTGTGTCCCAAGTGGGTTGTGAAGGTACTCCAGTCCACGAGCTGCCCCAATGCATATCTTCAGTCGTTGAACCCATGTGAGACTGGTGCTGCTAAGGTACTTTTCGAGGCTACCATTAAACTCAAACTCATAAACAAGAATCTTTTCCTCCCCTTCATCACAGAAACCTAAGAGAGAGACTAGGTTTTTGTGTCGATAACGAGAAAGCATCATTATCTCCATCAGAAACTCATGTTCACCTTGTCCATGGCGTCTGTCTAACCTCTTTATTGCGACGGTTTTTGTTAGCCCGTCGGTGGAAGTTATCTCTGCTTTGTAGACCTTGCCGAATCCACCCACCCCGATAAAATTCTCAGGTCCAAAGTTATTGGTGGCCAATTTTATGACATCAAATGAGATTTTGAGGTGTTCCAACTGTTTCAGCAGCGCCATAATCGATTTCAAAAAGGGGAGGGGAGTATGAAATAAAGGTATAGCTTAATTGGCTCCCAGAGGTATTTATTTAAACTTCTTATCTCTATGGAAAGTTTCCGCGTCCATTCACACAATGAGCACAACTCTTACATAGCGAACATAACAATCAGAGTAGAGAATGTACAATATTGACCCCTGAACTATCTACATATTTACAATATTATTCCTAATAGATCTAGCTAAGCTATGGGAAGGAAGAAAAATCGTTTACGTTTTATTCAATTTGCATCGACAAAATACTTTGAATTCTATACACAAACCGTTTACTTTGACTTTTATTTGTATGGAAGAAAAATGAAACCATTTACTTTGACTTTCCGTATGGATATCTAAATTTTAGTCCAACTATTAAAAAGTGCACATTCTGGTTTCACTACTTTCCAAAACCTATACCAATTGTATTTGGACGGTTGAATCGAACAATTTAGAGCATCACATGTGACTTTTTTGCTAAACAACTCAATAAAATAATAAAAAGCTCAAAGTATCACTACAATAAAAAAGCTTTTTTATTAATGTTTTATATGAATTAAAGATAATTAATATTATATATAGAACCCATAAAAAAATAATAAGTTTTCTATTGGTTGAAAGCAACAGCCAACTAGTCCCATACACTTCAATTTTTTTTAGATCCATTTATGATTAAATTCATTTTCTTAGTTCTCGTGACAAATTAATATACATATGAATGCATAACACCCTAGTGTATATGAATGCATAAGTCATAACAGCCTTATGAACAGTAAAGCATAAATGGTCCCTAAACTTTATTAAGGTTGTCAGTTTTGTCCCATTTTTTAATTTTTATTCAGTTTTGAGCCACTAATTTTTTTTAAGTCAAAAACCATTTGCTTTTAATGCTCAAAATCGTCAGAATGCAAAACATATTATTAATTTTTATTTTTTAGAATTTGCAAGGGTATTTGGAATTTATCTTATTATTATATTATTTCAAACACCATGTTTTTTCACGCGGATGTTCGCAAAGGTTTTGGGATTTATCTTTATTATCATATTACTTTTCGTCCAATGGTTAGTTTATTCCCTTGTCTTTATGTTTTTGTTCTTGTTTATGTTTATGGTATATTTATGTATGTTTGAGTTACTGTATTTGGGATTTAGAGTTTGTTCGTGTTCTCGTTGCCTTTTCTTATAGTATTGAGATTGTTTTGGCCCATGATGCATCTCGTAGGGGGCCATTCTTCCGCCTTGCTATTTTTTTTATTTTTTCTATTAATAAAGATTAATATGGGTGCCCCCATCCCTCCCTTTTTGTTTATCAAAAAAAAAATACATTGAAAACTCATCTCTTGTACCAAATAATGGATTTTAAAAGTATAACCAAAGGCCCAATACTCAATCTTAAAAAAACGTCGATAAAAAAAAATTAAGAATCGCCAACTATTCGGGGAGTAATCTTTGATTTTCTTTAAACATGTCCACACATCCCTGTTAACAACTAGTAGATCTCATTCACAAGCACAATGTATTTGGGTCTGATCTCAATTCCTTGCAATGAGCCCGGTAAGCTCATCCTCGTTGTTACAAAGGCTCAATACAACATTTATGTTTATAGTACTAGTAGTAGCATCTGTTGTAAATTCCCATATCATAGCCTCCATCCATCCATGTTTTCGTTGCCTTGGAGTGCCCTCGATTTTCGGTCTATGCGACGGGTTCTTATTTGGCCTTTGATTATGATCTTGTTCGCTCTTTGCCAGTGTGATTAATGGGGTTTTCGGACTGGATAAAAAAATGAACTACACCTTTTCATCTTCCAAAGAATATCCATCGGAATCATTTACTTGTAGAGGACATTCAAATTTCTCATCGCTTACTTCTGGCAATTTGTACACAAGGTAAGTTGCATATTTTGTGTTTAGTGACATCAAGTGGGAGTTGATACGACAGTTGATATTTAATTCACTGTCTGATTTACATTCGGCCACCTTCTTGAATCTGCATCACTTACATGTTTTAAAAAACACACCAAAACGATATGCATCAATCTTGTAAGAAGGGTACGTACATCGATTCATGTAGAGATATCCAACGAAAGCTTGTGTCTTCGTTGTCTTCTAGAACTACTCTTGCTGCCACCATACAACATTTGATTCCATCTTTATTAAGAGAAAAGAACTGTACATCAATGATTTCAACAATAATCGTTAACAACCCAGAAGAATATTATTTGTTATCAATAAATATTTTCTTTGTACTTAGAAATTAAGTAGGATTAATTATAGATGTACCATTTGGCCTCTATTCGTAAGGATCCCATTGATGAATAGCATGTAGATTTCCTTGTTAGTGACGACGTTGTATGGCACATGATCCTTTTCCGTTTTGATTATGTATTGATAGTCACGTGGTAGTCTTTGTTACCAATTTGTATCTATCATCGTATTATAATTGTCTATTGCTATTCGCTCTTCTTCTATAGCCTGTAAATGGAAATTAAATGGGTTAATTCAAGGAGTCATAATCTCATGGAGTAATTAAGATGAAAGGATGCATGATTGATGTTTACTAACTCCACAGGAAAGAACTGGATGCCTTCAACTAAGATGCCATCACGAACATGAATGTTATTGAATGAAACCTCAAGCTTTGCGGCTTTCTTATGACTAATAAATTAGCACAGTTCAATCAACATCCATCCATTATCTATCTTCTCTGCACGGTAAGAGACTGAAAATTCACCTGCATCTTTAAATTTATATTGTAAACCCACATATAGTGGTTCAAATAACATCTCGGATTTGACTGTATGTGAATCATCGGAATCATGATCAGAGTTATGATCAAAATCGTCATAATTATCTTCATCAAAAATTTTGAAGACAAGGTATGTTGCGTATGTGATCCCCGGTGTCAAGAAAATCATCTCTATATCAACCTCTATATTCATATCCTCTGCTCTTTCAATTTTTGCTACCTTTGAAAACCTGCACATGAGGGACAAGTTAAGGAGTTAACCATCATATACATATGTATCTATGTATGTGTCTATATGTGTAACATAGATAAAGAGAGAAAGAGAACCTTGATTTTTGGTCAGGAACCCATTCAATAATTTTTGGATCTTTGAATGAAAACTCAGATGCAGAAATCATCTCACAGTTCTGTTCTTTCTTGCTCAAGGAGAACCACTAAACATTTAGAAATATCTCAAATTAGTACCAACATGAATCTAATTTTGTTTATTGCACTTAACCAGACTAGTTACATTCCTTGATAATTCAGTTGGTAAAATGCACATTTAAAATAATATATGGTCTTTAGTAATATTTCATTAGTGTTAGCAAATTTTATAGGAGTGCATGAAGTTTCTAACAGAGTTCATCATAAGTCTAAGAAAAAATAAATTACCCTTCTTCCCTAATCAACAAGAATTCCTAAAGATAGAAGCAATTTGAGTTCCTTTTATTTGTGTAGACTAAAGGATACTCCCTATCAGCTATCTGGATTATTTCTTCGTACTCCATGGGTTTCCTACTTTTAAAACTTTCCTATAAAACAAAAAATGTTAGATTTAGCATCTGCAGATTAGGAAAACAGATAAAGGAGAAGCAATGCTATACTTGCCTGATATTCAAGTGCAAGCTCAAGTTCTTCAAACACTTGAACCATGGTCGGGTGTTCTTCACGCTCTCTTTTCAAACAACGATAAGCAACTGAAGAAAAGGTTTTTAAAGATTTTGGTTCCATTTGTTGATGTAGACCATTGAAAATAATGTCATCAAGTGTTCCTTTCTCATAGCTGCGTTTTGCTATTTCTGTCAACAAGTGAGGCTCCTCATCAGGTTTCCCAATGCAAAGCCTCCCACAAAGGACTTCAAACAAAACCACCGCAAACGAATATACATCCGACTCCTTTGTCAGAATATTTGTCTCCATGTAGAGCGGATCACAATACCCAAATGACCCGACTGCATTGGAGACAAGAAAGGTGAACTCTTGATTTGTTGGGTCTATTTTGGACAACCCAAGTCGGCTATTTTAGCTTCCCAAAACTGATCTAAAAGAACATGCGCGCTCTTCACATCTCGATGCAAGACTGTATGCTGTGTTCCAGGTGGGTTGTGAAGGTACTCCAGTCCACGAGCTGCCCCAATGCATATCTTGAGTCGTTGAGCCCATGTGAGAGTGTTGCTACTAAGGTACCTTTCAAGACTACCATTAAACTCATACTCATAAACAAGAATCTTCTCGTCCCCTTCGTCACAAAAACCTAAGAGATAGACTAGGTTATTGTGTCGATAACGGAAGAGCATCATTATCTCCATCAGAAACTCATGTTCACCTTGTCCATGTCGTCTATCTAATCTCTTAAATGCAACAACTTTTGCTAGCCCCCCGTCCCACCAACCCTGACAAAGTAATCATCGTGGAAGCTGTTAGTGGCCAACTTTATGGCATCTAATGAGATTTTTAGGTGCTCCAACTCTTTCAGCATCGCCATGAATAATTAGTTTGATACGACAATTGCACGATTTCCGAAAGATAGGAATGAAAAAAAGGTATAGCTCAAAAGGTTTTTACGTTGCTTGTTATGGAAACAGGAAAAGTTTCTGCCTCGAGATCTAACTTAATTAAGGGACTAGAGAAAACCATTATATTTGTACGGATGATTGTAAAAGCCGTTTACTTTGACTATGCATTTTGTTGTTATTGTTTAGTCAAAGTCTATATCCACATGATAACGTGAGTCGAAGGCACGTACAAACCCTTTGTGTATTTAGGCATCTGTAATGGATTGTCAAATTATCCATTAAATATCTATATAACACCACCCACACAATCTGTTAAACACATATTCAATCATAATCAAAATTTATTCTTTCTATTGAACCATTTAATTATCATTTAACTTTGCTTCATATCATCATCCACACTTCATTCAACTTTTATTCAATTCTAGTTATGATTCTATTTAACTCTTATACTACTTGCATTGTAGATGTTTTTATTATATTGTTATATAACATGGTTGCGTTGACAAATAAAAAGAAATCCAAAAAACGACAAAAGTATGTATTTGGGATCCTTGAAACAATTGGAAAATGATTTTAGGACAAAAACTAATTTAGCCAAAACAGATACAAATATTTATTGTTAAAGATAAATAACTAATGTCAAGCAAAAACACATAAAATTAGCAATCATTCTTGAACACACAACCTAAAGAACTCTATCTTCATTACGTCACTCCATGGAGCTATAACAATTTTAACTATAATTATAAATAAAAATGATAATTTTTATTTTAAAAAAATATAAAAACAAAAATAATTGAAGTTTTGAAATTTTTAAAAGAATTAAACTATATGAATAAAATTAATTTATAATTATAAATATATATTATTCCATTCCTGAAAGGAATAAAAAAAATACTACCATGGAATGAAAATCAAAGAAGGAATAACTATAAATATATATATCGTTCCATTCCCCGAAGAAATAGATGAAAAAAAACTTCTCGAAATAGAATGAAAATCAATCCAGAAGAAAGAATCATATTCCATAAGAAATAAATCAAAAACAGACTGGAACTTTTTGGATTAAACCGATAATACTCATGAGTTTTTTCAGCTAGATTTTCAAAATCCCTGGAGTTGGACCGGACTTTTTTGTCTGAATTGACTGGCTGCCTTGTGCAACTTTAATAACTTGACACTGGGTTTCCATGTCATCTATCACGTCACATCATAGTCTATGTCACTTTGTCATCACAAAACCCAATTAGGATCACCCTCCTTTTTCTCCAAAAATTATTATCCCCTTGTAACTTCTCCAATAGCTGGCATGGCCAATACATTCAGATCATGCCCTAAAAACTAATAATGAGGTAATAGTTGATTTCGTAATTTACCCAAAAAAAAAAAAAAAAAAAAAAAAAAAAAAAAAAAAACTATCAATAGTGACTTTAAAAGTTAATAGAAGACAGATACAAATTTGAAAATTAGCGTTCCAAAAATTAGAAACTTGAGCATTTTCTTAACAAAAGTTAGTGGTTGGATTAAAGATGAAGTGCCAGACAAAATGATTAGGATTGCAAAAACATAACAAAAACCAATAGAACCATCAAAGACTTTTGGTGCCTTTCTTCATATCAAAAGTCAAAAACAACACTCTTAAAAGCACCACCATATGCATATTAACATTCTCGTATATATATCTTATAAAAACCCTAAATGAACCCAAAGTCGGCTATTTTAGCTACCCAAAACTGATCTAAAAGAACATGCGTGCTCTTCACATCTCGATGCAAGACTCTTTGCTATGTTCCAGGTGGGTTGTGAAGGTACTCCAATCCACGAGCTGCCCCAATGCATATCTTGAGTTGTTGAGCCCATGTGAGAGTGTTGCTACTAAGGTACCTTTCAAGACTACCATTAAACTCATACTCATAAAAAAGAATCTTCTCATCCCCTTCGTCACAAAAACCTAAAAGAGAGACTAGGTTCTTGTGTCGATAACGGAAGAGCATCATTATCTCCATCAGAAACTCATGTTCACCTTGTCCATGTCGTCTATCTAATCTCTTAAATGCAACGACTTTTGCTAGCCCCCCGTCTGTGGTTGTGGTTATAATCTCTCCTTTGTAAACCTTGCCGAACCCACCAACCCTGACAAAGTAATCATCGTGGAAGCTGTTAGTGGCCAGCTTTATGGCATCTAATGAGATTTTTAGGTGCTCCAACTCTTTCAGCATCGCCATGCATAATTAGTTTGATATGACAATTGCACGATTTCGAAAAGATAGGAATGAAAAAAATGTATAACTCAAAAGGTTTTTACGTTGCTTGTTATGGAAAACAGGAAAAGTCTCTGCCTCGAGATCTAACTTAATTAAGGGACTAGAGAAAACCATTATATTTGTACGGATGATTGTAAAAGCCGTTTACTTTGACTATGCATTTTGTTGTTATTGTTTAGTCAAAGTCTATGTCCACATGATAACGTGAGTAGAAGGCACATACAAACCCTTTGTGTATTTAGGCATCCGTAATGGATTGTCAAATTATCCATTAAATATCTATATAACACCACCCACACAACCTGTTAAACACATATTCAATCATAATCAAAATTTATTCTTTCTATTGAACCATTTAATTATCATTTAACTTTGCTTCATATCAACATCCACACTTCATTCAACTTTTATTCAATCCTAATTATGACTCTATTTAACTCGTATACTACTTGAATTGTAGATGTTTTTATTATATTGTTATATAACATGGTTGCGTTGACAGACAAAAAGAAATCCAAAAAACGACAAAAGTATGTATTTGGGATCCTTGAAACAATTGGAAAATGATTTTAGGACAAAAACTAATTTAGCCAAAACAGATACAAATATTTATTGTTAAAGATAAATAACTAATGTCAAGCAAAAACACATAAAATGAGCAATCATTCTTGAATACACAACCTAAAGAACTCCGTCTTCATTACGTCACTCCATGGAGCCATAAATTTTTTAACTATAATTATAAATAAAAATAATATCTTTTATTTTAAAAAAATATAAAAACAAAAATAATTGAAGTTTTGAAATTTTTAAAAGGATTAAACTATATGAATAAAGTTAATTTATAAGTATAAATATATATTATTCCATTCCCGAAAGGAATAAAAAAATCCTACAAAATCAAAGAAGGAATAACTATAAATATATATCGTTCTATTCCCCGAAGAAATAGATGAAAAAAAAAAACTTCTCGGAATAGAATGAAAATCAAGGAGAAAGAATCATATTCCATAAGAAATAAATCAAAAACAGACTGGAACTTTTTGGATTAAACCGATAATACTCATGAGTTTTTTCAGCCAGGTTTTCAAAATCCCTGAAACTGGACCGGACTTTTTTATCTGAATTGACTGGCTGCCTTGTGCAACTTTAATAACATGGCACTGGGTTTCCATGTCATCTGCCACGTCACATCATACTCTATGTCACTTAGTCATGCCCTAAAAACTAATAATGAGGTAATAGTTGATTTCTATAAATCGTAATTTACCCAAAAAAAAACTATCAATAGTGACTTTAAAAGTTAATAGAAGACAGATACAAATTTGAAAATTAACGTTCCAAAAATTAGAAACTTGAGCATTTTCTTAACAAAAGTTAGTATTAAAGATGAAGTGCCAGACAGAATGATTAGGATTGCAAAATAATGATATTTCCCAGCAAAAACATAACAAAAACCAATAGAACCATCAAAGACTTTTGGTGCCTTTTCTTCATATCAAAAGTCAAAAACAACACTCTTAAAAGCACCACCATATGCATATTAACATTCTCGTATATATGTCTTATAAAAACCCTAAATGAACCTAATTAACCACCATGCTATAATTGTATACCACCAGCTGTTGATTCTGTTAATGAACTCATAGCACTCTCCCCAACTTCACTCTTGCAAAGAGGACACGAAGCATTAATCTTTAACCATTTGTCCACACAATCTTTGTGAAAGAAGTGACTACACATCAACTGCCTCAGTTCATCATTGTTTGCATACTTTGCCAAACAAATACAGCACACCTATTAAGTAAAATACACACATAACTATAAGAAAAAAGTTTTTTTTTATAATAAAAACCAGAAGGGCAATAACGTCTTTTGCATAGACAAGAAATCAAGAACAAATCCCCATCCCACCTTTTTGGATGAGACAAAAAAACAGCAATTTTTGTCTAAGTCCAATGCAGTACAACATGTTATGTCATGTCTTGTACTGTGTCAGTGTCTGTGTCAGTGTAAGTACTTACCGCGTCTTCTCCTGAAAGGACACGTTCATGTTCTGTTCCAGCAGCCACAATCCCACCTTCGGTTGTACTTTCGTGGGACCCTCTGTTACTCCCGTGTTTATGTTTTTTTATTTTAAATTTGTAAATAGGCAAAGAATTAATCGATTCAGAAGTGGCTCCTCTATTTTGTGAAAGATCTTCCCTGATACCCATGACTGAAATAATACAAGGGAGGCAGCAACAGATTGTGGCACACAAGATGAAAGGCATTGCATAGCCAATACAGCTAAAGGCAAGAAACACTAAACATAACCTGTCAAAAACCAATAAAAATAAATAAATTATAAATTATAAGATATAAGAGCAACCATAAAAAGGATAGAATTATAAGAATCAGTAATCACACCTGTACAAGTTGGGTGCATCAGAAAGAGAAGAATGACCTCCAAAGATCCAAACATTCCCAACAACAAACCAGACTGCGAAAAAACAATCTAACCCCATTTTGAAGTATTCAACAAGTACTTTCAATCTGCAACACAAAATGAAATGTATAAAACATATGTTGTAAATGGAACATTGTTGACAACTACATGCTACATACATACCTTGCATTCAGCAATACCCTTACAGGTCTTGTTGTGCCAGTGGCATTATTAGTGTCACCAACGGAAGTTCTTGCATTTGAAGAAGTTAAAGAGGTGGCCATGGCAGAAAGGAAATTTGGGGAAGAATTTTGGCGAGGCTGAGCTGGGTCTTGTTCTGATGTTTCATTGCGATAATAAAAACGCCAAAAGAGAAGAGGAAGAGTTGCAACACATCCAGATGCATAACCGATAACCCATGTAAATAAAGGAGCACGAGGGTGCTCATGTCTGGACATGGACAGAACGACAATGGCTGCTATTATTTGGCTCATTGTTATAACTAATTCAAAACATATCCAATATCCAGAATTCAATGGACTCCTACGACGACCATTTGTCCCATTTGCCCTCCTAGCAAATGGTGTATTTCTTGGATTTGTCACATTGGTAGTAGAGAAAGAATGTTGAAAAACAGGATCGCTTACACTGGTTGAAGGGAGGTTTTCATTCTGCTGTGCGTTTGACCTGTTCGCTTGTCTATCTTGTGTAGAGGTAGACGAAGAAGAAGGTTCAGTTGTTATATCAATCACATGCCCATTGTCCTCCCTGGTTTCTGATCGCTCCATTACTTGCTGTTCCTTCTTTGTTTCAACTTTACAATGTAGTCCCAACACACAAACGCCCATCTACCAACTACAACTTAGCAGAGAAATTTTCAGATAACCATTCTCCTAACGTAAACCCTAATCAACACGCAAAACCTAGCTTCGGGATTCTGATCTTTCTAATACGTATTCAGAGAAAACGACCAAGTAAGTAAACAATGGATCAATGAAACAACTGGTGTCATCAGAACTCACAATTGAAAAACCCTAGTAGTGCAAAACATCAATTTCTTGCGTATTTGAGCTGATTTTATGGGAAGAATCATACGCGAACAAAGAGGAAAGACTAACCAGTGAGTATGCGATTAAAGTAGCAAAGAATCGGAGGGATTTGCGGCGAAGTTGTGAAGATCAATCGTTCAATTGAATAACAAACACCCACACACATAGACACATAGTGATTAATCGTTTCTTTTCTCTTTTTCTTTTTCTTTTTCTTTTTCTTGGGCCGATAGATATCGATATTATAATATCGTGTCAACTTTGACTTTTCCGTATTGCTCGATATGACTTTGGATATTCTTCGGTTTTAATGCGTCAGGATCGATGTACAGCTAACAATGCACAAGGTATAATAAGTTTTAGGATCACTTATGATTTTATCTCTTTGGCAAACATCATCTCCATTTTCGTCCACATTTATTCGAACATAAAACGCAATAATCCATAAAACACTGATATTTTATCAAAATCAATAAATACTTCAAATAAAATTATTTTTAATGAATTTATATGGTATTTTGAAATATCAATGTTAAATCTCATATAAATTTTAAAGTAAAAATTAAATAAACTCCCCATATGATTTGTTTCAATCGGCATGTTTATCTAAGTTTTTCACTCATGCGATCTCTTTGGTTCGATTTTTGGTTTGATTTTGATCTTTGGTCAAACTAAAATGACTATTTTCTTCTTAAAACCATTTTATATTTGAAATTTGTTTAATTACAACAAACTCGTCCCAAGGCCCATCTTATGGGGTGTAAATCAAGGAACAATGACATTATCAGGTTTTTTGAACAGTAGACCTTCATGAAAATCTATACTTGAGCCACTAAACTTTTATGGTGAAGACAATAATGTTATACATCATGATGCACGTGATAAATATGTTCTAAGATAATTGTTTTTATTTTGAATATTTGATACTAAGTAAATTGGTCAAAATGTGAGAAGGATGTTAAACTAAATTGTTAAATTGTTAAATCTACTTTCCATAGATATTTTTGTTTCCAAATATACTTCAAAAGTTACATAAAAAATATTATTTTCCATGTAACATAACATCACACAATATGTTTGATCCATCATAATTGCAACCTTACAATACACTTGTAGAAATCCCATAGTTGATTACAACATGTGGTTAATTAATAATTACCACTTACAACAAGCACCAAACCGTTGCATCCAAATTAAGATGATAAATTATCCAAAACAGGAAATACAAATTCTCCCAGAAAATCCCGGCACATAATTCATCACATTTTACAACACCAATTTCACAGGTTTTCTGGAAGTTAACGTTGCAACACTTTTATACTGACAAAACAAAATTAAATAACTGTCATTTAATGATTTATATTAATTATTTAATTTTAGTTAAAAATAGGTGTTTAGTGTTTACCTTCTGTTGCTTGTACTTTTGGCGTATAGCATGGAGAGGGGCTGCATTGTTAAGTTGCAAACCTTGAAGGGCC